ACTCAAAAGCGAGTGCATTAGTCAATAAGGTTGACTTATATGATTTTGCCTTTATACGTACGTCTTAATTAGCAATGTGTGCATGTATATTGTCAGCTTTTCGTTTTTCAAAGGTATCATCGAATTCATACACCAATAAGTCAATACTAATTTTATTTTTATCACAAATTTTTCTTTTCACCTTATATTAAACATTGGCGAGAGAAAATAAATTATTAAAAAATGTATTCAGTTTCTATTATAGAGTGCCTTCTGGAAGAATTTTTTTATCCTTAATATAAGGCACTTGATATAGTCTTAATTACATTTTTTTAATATTACTCATATTTAAATTCATTAACTATGAGAAAGAATATAATGAAAATTTAAAAAAATCACTTAAGTATGGGTAAAATTAAAAGTTTATTATATTTTCAAATAGAAATAATGACTTAATCATCTCTCCTTAATTATCGCAAGGTAATTAGGTGTGACCTATAATAGGGACAAGAGGAAGTATTTAGTAGAGGCAATGAAAATTTATTAAATATTTAGATATAGAGTTAACAAACTTTAGAGTTTTACTTAATTCTAATGAAATATGTTAAAATAACTTATAATTATAAATAGGATAAAAAAAAAAGAGTAATGACATAAGATTTAGTTTCAACGGTTATAGCAATGAATGTGCCAGTATATATATTCTTTCTAATCCTATATATAAGTGACCTTGTAGGAAGAATTAATGGTTCTTCCTGCAAGTTATTTTTCATAAAATGTGGAGTGTTAATTATTTTTGCACAATTTTATTATTAAAAATTTTCCATACGTTTACGTAGAATGAAATGTTACATATATAGAAAAATATTTTAAAAATAATATGCAATACATTTAATAGGGTTAACTTAAAAAAATCTTTCCTTTTTCATACAACATCAATAATATTTAATTACCTCCTCTTAACTCTGGTAAGGTAGCTAGAAGTTGTTTATATTACTATAAAAAAATTGACTTTTGGTGGCAACAAAAAATCACCGCCAAAAGTCCAAAAGTCGCCGCTAAAAGTTTTTAGCGGCGACTTTCCGCCGCTAAAAGTTTTTAGCGGCGACTTTCCGCCGCTAAAAATCATCGCTATAACAACCGTCGCTAATAGTTTTTGGTGGCAACAAATATTGTCGCCGCCAAAAGTATACTTTTCGCCGCTAAAAGTCTTTTTAGTGGCAACAAATGTCGTCGCCAAAAAGACTTTTAGCGGCGATAAATTGTCGCTGCTAAAACTTTTTTTTAAGAAATAATAATTTATTTTATGCCACATCACTCTGCCATGTGTGCATTAAGTGATGCCACGTCACCTACCATATATGCAATAGATTATGCCACGTCACTTGCCATCTTGTGCCACGTCACAGTCCATGTGTCCAACAGATAATGCCACATCACCTAGCCATCTCATGCCATGTCACATGATACATGTGCACTTCCTCAAGCCACCTTATGTGCCACGTCACCATCTCACGCCACGTCACCTGCCACGTGTATGCCTTGTTAAGCTACCTCATGTGCCACGCCACCAGCTCATGCCACATCATCTGTCACGTGTGTGCCTTCTTAAACAACCTCACGTGCCACGTCACTACCATGCGCCACGTCACATATTTGTTGTGAAATATGATTTAAAGTCAAGATTTGAGCCCTTGACCTCTCCCTCCTCCAAGCCTTAAGCCTCCCTTCTTTGCCAGTTGAATTGAAATGTACCTACAGTTATTATATACGAAATTAAATATATATTATGTAACTGCATACACATATATTAAATAATATATGATTAAAAAGATATCCATATATTATATTTTATTTTCAATTATTAATATGAAAAAATGATTTATATGAATATTTAAATTATAATTTTAATAAAATATTATTTTTTACTAATAAATATTATTTTTTTAGGAAAATGAACTTAAAATAAACAATTTTTAAATATTAAAATAATACTCTTATATACATTGTAATAAATTTTTAAATTATATTTTTATTTTTTAAATGAAAATTATTAAGTATATAATTTATTTATAAATATGTATTATATTATTTTATGTTAAATTTCTTTTACTTTTTTCTTCTCCATATTTTTCTAAAAAATTGATAAACTAAATGATTAAATTTTTATCCTCTCTCAAAATAGCTAAATATTTCCCCCTCTTTTAATAAAAATATATTTTATAGATAATTTTTCAATATCTTAAAAAATTATTTTAATAAAAAATTAATTTTAACCACATAAATTTTGTTAATAGTCATTTTGAATAATTTTGAAAATGAATGCTAATAACTTTTGCAATATATGATAATTACAAGAATCTCTGTGTGATCAATCTAGTTAACATCTAATCATCTTTAATCTTATAGAAAGGTGGATTTGAGTAGTTATTCATATTATTCTTAGTAATAATTAGTTATAAAATGTTATTATAGCAATGAAAACCTAAATATATTAGGAGGAATTACATGAAATCTTTGTCCAAAAGTTATTAGAGCTCAGTAGAAGAAGTAAATACAATATATATATCAAGCTAAGCATAAAGTGTGCAATATGTTAAGTAGTTTATAATATCATTAGCATCTCACGATATTTGCCATTTATGTATTTGATTGTAAGTAATAATTTATATATAACTTAACCTAATTATAATTGAACTAATAACCCATTAAGATTTAAATTTATCATATTAAAATACTAGCTTAATAACATAATTATTAAAAAAAATATGAGCTATATATGTCTAAAAAATGATTATGAATAATATAAAATTAAAAAAATTTGATAATTAAACTTAGCACACTTTAACTATTATTTTTTTTATTTCACGTTCCTATATATAATTTATTTCTAATTCTATACATAAAATAAGAAATTTAATTTCATAAATATATTTTAAATAATTTTATTTAATTATTTTTTAATTTTTAAATTATTTTTTATAAAAATATTTTTGGTGGCGACATGTTCACTTTTGGCGGCGACTTTTTTAGTCGCCGCTAATAGTTATCGTCAAAAGTCATATTTAATTTTTTGTAGTGTATATTGTTCTGAAGAAATGACTATTTAATTGACATCATTTAATCTTAACTTTACCATGTGAAGTCTTAATTGGAAGTTTTGTCAATTTATAATCAGAATGATCTTAGCTTGAAACACTAGGATTTTTAAGCACATTATAATATGCATGAAAAGTGGCTTCAAACTCATTCAAGTTTCTGGGATGGCCCACGTCCCTTTCGGCACGTTATTGGGAGTTTAACTTTGGCAATTGGTGCGCTCCATGCATGTGGGTTTTCAACATTTCACAATCAATCAAATATTATATATAATAAGGAGGAGGATTTCTTAGAGGGAGAATAATAAAATAAGACCTTATAAGAATATTAATGTCAAGTTGTGATCTTTTCATGGCTAAGGTTTCCAAATTCAACAATCTTTTTCTTATATTTCAGTGCTAAAATTTAAAAAAATTCTTAATTTAGCATTAATCTTCTTATGAGATCTTTACTTGTCAATTGCCATTTTCCTTCTTAAATTAATGGTAGGGTTGTAACTTGTGACATTATGACCTAAATCTTCCATAAACTTGTTTTTCTTATAATCACATCTTAGGCTTTTACGATAGAAAAAAATTTACCTAAAGCCAAATATATTCTGACTTGTTTTTATAAGTCCAAAGACCCCAAATGCAATTTTTTTTTTTTTTTGAGAAAAGATGCATTTGTCCCAAATGTAGAAATTTTTCAAATATATGTACAATACAATGTTTGCAAAGAACATAACAAAGCCTATGTGTGAACAACACAACGACCATTTGTTAAACATGAATTTAACAGATTAAGTTGAATAATAATGTACATTTTTTAGGTGTATGTACAATACAATTTTGTAAAAAATATAATAATGTCCATTGCATGAAACATAATGTCTGTTTATCATATCTATTCCGTGGCCAAATATACTTCTTTATGAAAAAGTATATTTATTTTTGAGACCTTTTAAGCCTGCAAAAATATTTCAAAATGCATTGAAGTTTAGTCTAGGAGCTTTTTATGCTGATTGCTCTTCTTTGGGGCCCAAAATGTTGTGCTTTACGACTTTGAGCATGTTTTTGGGTGAAACCATGTTCGAAGGCCGAACTTTTGACGGGTTTTGACTTCAATTTATGTTGGGCCTCTTGATGGTATTTGTTTTGGGCAATTTTAGGACTTCTCTATATGTTTCGTGGCAAATCATTTCTTTTAAGAAACCTTCGAACATTCAATTAAAAAAAAATAAAAAAAGGATAAGCCTTGCATAATTTACAATAATCTATAAACCTTTTTTCTAGTAACTGACAATAATTACTAATCTAAAATTTCGTGCAGTTTACAGATTGGACATAGTGGTCATTGGCCAATAAGGGGTGTTCTTTTCGGACAACTCATTTAAGCTTTATATTTTTTAAGGAACAAGTTTATAAAATGAAAGATTTTGACATGAAGGAGTCTTTAGGCTCAATTTTTATAAGCCCTTCGAAAGCAGGCTAACCTTTTTAGCCCCTATATTTCTCTCTCTCTCTTTTCAATTTTGTTGAAATTGTTGACAATTACAAGTACTTGGTTGAAATTGTTAATATTATAAAATAATAGGGTTGAAATGGAATTAATACATAAAAATGATAAAATTCTTTAAATAGTTGTGTTAGCATAATTAAAAAAATTATGTCCGCTTTTGGACCCAGCTGGAAGCTGTCAACGAAGCCAGACTTGGGCTATTGTAGGCCGGACCAACTCCAATTGCAGCTCTAGAGATAAGTCAGCCGAATAACATTGGATTCAAACTTGGATCTTTATTATTTTTAAAAAAAATTCAAAAAAAAATAAAGATTTTTGTTGCCAAACCCATGATGCTCGCTCCTCTATGCACAGGATTAACGGATTTCAGTTATTTCAATTCCATAATAGGAATAACAGTTAGGACGCACTAACCAAATCAACCTCCAAACAAAGGATCAGTGATCTGATCATGGAATGATTACAGAGACAAAGAAGGATGAGGAAGGAGGTGGTGGTGATAGCTTCATTGAGCACAACCTTGGCACTGGTCGCAGCAGTTGGTCTGATCAAGAGATGGAAGAAGAAGAAAGAGAGACAACGGAGGCAAACATGAAACCTCGTACGTAAATTCGCAAGGGAATGTGCCACTCCTGTCAAAACCCTCTGGCTCGTCGCCGATGACTTAGTTTCCGACATGAAAGCCTCTCTCGCTTCTTCCTCCGACGAAGCCACCACTCTCAAGATGATCATTTCGTTTGCTGCATCGCTCCCTAATGGGTACTTCTTCCTCTTCTGATCAAAATGCCTTTTCCTGTGTGTGTTTTTTCATTCAGTTAGGTTAAATTATTTGGCATTGACAGAGAAGAGGAAGGTTTCTTCTATGGAGTTAACATGAGAAGCACAAACTTCTTGATCTTGTGTGCTCGTCTCAGAGGAAAGAACAGCCACGTCTCTGATTTAGACAGAGAAGAAATCTCCTTCCCTCCTGATCTCCTGGATGCAGCTAGACAGGTATATATCTTCTTCCTCGTAACCTAAAGTTTCTTGTCTGCGATTGATATATAATATTGAATTTGAAGAAATCTAAGCCAACACCAAATCAATTTGAATGGGTTAATCTAAATTATTTTTTATTATTATTAATGGAATGAAATTAATCTTCCCTTCAATGTTCACTTGCCACTCTCACAAACCCTCTCCAAAACTCCTAGTTTGTACATTTCACATTCTTAAATAAAGTTTTAATGTCCTAATAACCATTTATTTTGAATATTTTTAAAAAATATTAAAGAAAAATAACCAAAGATATTTCTTTATATATTTTTATTTTTATTCTTTTAATGTCAGGTCTCATGATCACTTTAATAAGGATAAAAAAAAAGGTGCATTGTAATGTTATGTTGATTAAAAAAAACCTTTTTCCAAGATAAAAAATAAAATTGGCTAAAATAGAGAAAAAATAATATTTAATAATTTCAGTATTTGGGTTCACCCAAATAAGCACAAAACCCGAGACTTAGCTTAGCTATATAGGCTTTTTTTATATTTTAAATATTTTAAATTTGATTTGAAGAAATCCAACCAATCCGAATTACTGACTCTAAAATCTAATTAATATGATATGAAAAAAAGAAAAAGTTTTGGCTTGGGAAGTGGGGCATGCAATGGAGTAATACGTGTACTCCCTCAATCATATTTATAACTTACTTTCAGTATTTTATTTGGAATCAATAAAAACATCAAATCTCATTAACTTAGTCTAAAATTCAACAAATTTTAACTTTATCTATATTATATATACACAAACACACATACTTTAAACAAAAAATATTTTAGCATGTGATAACATTTCCAATAAAATAAGGCAAATATAAGGGTAAAGATGGAACACAGTAATTACTGAGGTGCTTAGAAATAGAACTAAAATAGATACCCTTTGTCTGTCCTATAAATCCTAATAAAATGGTGATAGCTACAACCATATTTATCTATCTCATATCAACTCAAATCCACTAGGACTTAAACATGTCCTAATAAAATTTACCCAAAATCAAGGCACAAAATCTAATACTCATAAAATTTAATACTCATTCGGTCTTCTTTATAAATCATTTATACCAACTTTATTAATATCAATACAAAAAAAAATGTAAGGAATAAAAGTATGTAAAATTTTAAATATACCTTTATGTAATAAATTGAAAAAGTAATGCTATATTACTTTTTCTTTCTCGGAAAGGCTAATTTTAAAAATATTTTTTAAATATTATTTAAAAAGTTATACCACTACTTATAAATTAAATTAAATAAATTTTTTAAAATAAGATTTATAAATGAGACCGGGGAGGGGTGACTAGAAGGAAGGAAATCAAGGTTCTGGAAACTAAAAGTTCGACTTTAGTGGGGGCAGGTATGATAGAGTAACGCACGTATGTCATTTGCTAACGTGGAGCTTCTGAGAAATGATGCATGGAAGGAAAAGGCAATCAAATTCTGCGGAGGAAGAAGAAGATCGAACCCACTATTTGACCAAACTAGCCGAGTGAAGCAGAATCGTGTAGCGCCTCGCCTTGCAACAGCATATTATTCACATCTAAACACAGCCACCAAATTACTCCATTTTCACACCTGTGTTGAGGACTTGAGGGTAACATACGGTATACGAAGCGCGTACCATCTCTAATATATATATATATACACACACATAACTAATCATTTCCCAATCCTTTCCTTCATCTCTGTCTCCCCTCAGTTCACAACATCCATCATCGTCTTCCGCTCAGACCTTGCCACGTCACCGGCTTTTTCTTCAACTCTCAAAATTGACATTTCAAGGCGCTGTTTTGGCGCTATTCCAAGTCGACCACGACGAGCTTCAGAATCAGATGGCGGAAATATCCTCAACCATGTACTTGCCTGAATTCGTAAGCACCCCAACTCATCCAACTGTCTTTGTGTTTTAGGGACGTTAATCACTGGAGTGAGTGAGTTCGTTAGTTAAACTAGAGCAGCATGTAAACATGAATTAATTAGACTAATTCATTAATAAATTATCATCAGGGAATGGAGGACCTGACATTGTGTGAGGAGTTCCCGATGGATTGTTTTGATGGACTTGATTTCCAATCCTTGGTCCCCGAGAGCTATTCACCTTACGAGCGTCCAAACTCCCAGAGAAAACAGAATCCTCAGTCAATTATTGCCCCCCCAGGACCAAGTCCGAGCAAGAAGGTCAAGGTCATCAATAAGTCTGTTGCTCCCAGACTCATTTCTTTTGAGCACTCCAATAATACGCACCAGTTATGCGATCTGGATCCCAATGTGAAGCTCGAAAGCCTCAGTGAAAACGTACTGAATCTGGCGTCTTTAAGAAGCTGTCAAGGCGCATACTATGAAGGTATAGATTTCGTAGAAGGCAAGAAAGAGACGAGAAATCCACTCCAAGCTCAAGATCACGTCATGGCCGAACGAAGACGAAGGGAAAAGCTCAACCAGAAGTTTATTACTCTCTCCTCCATCATTCCTGGCCTCAAGAAGGTAATTTATTAATCATACACTAGGCACAGCTAATTAATATGACACACATTTTGATCTAATGTTTGTTTATTTGGATGCAGATGGACAAGGCGTCGGTGTTGGGAGATGCTATAGAGTACGTGAAACAGCTGAAGGAACGCGAGAAGATTCTGGAAGAACAAGTTGCTATGAATAGAAAGGAATCCGCAGTCTTGACGAGGAGAACTATTCTCTTTGCGGACGATGATGATAAGTCGCCGCCGTCCGATGAAATTCCCGACAAGTCACTGGCTGAAATCGAAGCCAGAGTTTTGGGTAAAGATGTACTCATCAGAATCCAATGCGAGAAACATAATGGGTGTGAGGCTAAAATACTGAGAGAATTTGAAAACCTTCGTCTCACTGTTCATAGCAGCAGCATCCTACCATTTGGAGAAACCACCCTTTGTATAACCATCATCGCTCAGGTAAATATAATAATTAATTAAAACGTCTTGATCTTAACCTTTAATCACGGACGCATTAAATTTCGTTCAAGTTCCTTTAATGTTAATTCTGTGCATGTCTTTTTAGCAGATGGACAAGGAGCACAGCATGACAGCAAAGGATCTCGTGGGAAGCTTGAGGAAGGCATTGACATTAGATCGTGCGTAGTTCAGATAATATCTATTGTTAGTAGAGGGGTGGTTTTGAGCGGCTTTGACTTTTCAAACCTACTCTTTTTTTATATTCCCTCTTTTAGATCTGCTGTGATAAGCAGAAAATTAAGGTTCTTGTTTACAGAGACAATAATAGAACTAGCAGGCACATGTATGTTTCGCATCGTTTATTGTTGTGTATAAAGTTCTTATGATTATTTGTGCTCCCCAGAGATAATGACAATATAATTAGTTTAGTTTGCTTGGGATGATATATATTTTCTAGTTTGACATTTTCTTCCTTTTTTTGGGGGTTTGATTGAATATAGATGAATGAGGCACCTTGGCATCAGGCAAACCTGTGTGGAGAATCGGACTGTGATTTGTCACCTCATAACTTGGAGATATATCATTAATAATTAATAATTTTGAAATGCTAACATTTCACATAATTTTTATAAAATATAATTACCCGTCATGTCCACTCTCGATCTCTCCTTCCAAAACTGCAAATAATTTGGTCCTTTAATTTAAATTTAAAATAAATTTGATAGATGAAAATTTGTTTGCATTCATACTTAAACTAGTAAAGTATCCATGCTCTGCACGGATTTGATATAGTGAATAAAGAACTTTACTAACTTAATAAATTTAGCGTCCTGGTATGTCCACCATCTTGTCGTACGTTGAGGAATTATTAATTCAATGAGAAATTCACCTACATCGGTTAAATGTTACTCCTCATCCAAATTATAAAATATTTTTAGATAAAAACACACATATTAATAAATTTTATTAAATACAATTTACAACTTTATTTTTTCAAACAAAAATATAAATATTTAAAAATTTCCTTCATTAAATATTTCATTTATAAAAGAATATTAAAAAGAAAGAGAATATAATGAAATAATAATATTAGAAAAGCATAATTAATGAAATCTTATTTTTGTCCGAGAACCTTATATTTTAAAACGTCAAATCTTTTTAAAAGTAACTTATAGTTTGAGATAGAGGAAGTAATTAAAGAACTAATCAATGCTCCCTTCGTCACATTTTATAAGAAATTTTTTTGAAATAATTTGGTGTTCTAAAAATATAAAATGTTTTGAAAAAATAATACTTCATTAATGATAATTATCCCAATATTACCCCTTATTATTTCACTCCTTAAATATACTTCTTTCCCTCTCAATCTCTTATTAATAAAGGGTATATTTTTGAAAGTTTATAGAAAAATTAAGTTTGTAAGCATAATTTTACCAAAAAATATACTTTATAAATTGAAATGGAAGGAGTAGTACATACTCTCATGAGTGCTTCGGATAATAATGATGGTCATTAATTGGTCATTGTCACCATTACAAACAATGATAGTTAAATTCATCCAAAATTCTCTCTAATCAATTTTATTAATCATATGCCTTCATATTCTGATGTTCCTCAAAATGGAATATTGGATATGAGAAATTTTTAGGTAGATCAAGTGTGCTATATCATTTGTAATTTATCTAATAAAAACATAACATTTAGATAACATTAAATATAAATTGATTCTAACATTTATGATAGCAGAGAGAGAGAGAAAATGCAAGAAATTAAATATGCATTCTATTATAAGAATAAAATTAATTAAAATAATATTACATAAGATTTTATTTAGATGACTTGGAGCATTCTAATTGGAGAGATTACAGATGACATGACACACTCAATCTACCTAAGAATTTTTCATTTGATATTCTTATAACCCACACCCTCAGTCTCCAACAATGATGGAAACATTAAAAGAAAAAAAACATCATCTTAGAGATGAAGCAAATTAAAAAAAAAACACTAGTCAAGTGAGAGTTGTTTGAGGCAGTGTTGTTAATTCTCAAAACTTGAACTCAAAACTTATGTTTAAGCTAGTATGGGAGCACATTTTCTCTTTCTATTTTGTGGGAGGAAGTTACGACAATTTCTTCATCAATGGTTCATAACTATTGTGCAGCCATAATCAATAATGATCCCTTTACTACCCATGTGGCAGAGGTTAGAAGAAAGAGTGGGGCCTTGATTCGCATCTTTGAGAATAGGAAGTGTCTCAGGGTTTGGTGTGGTGGTTCATCTCAGTTCTTGTTGTCTTCTTATTTCTTGACGATGAAAGACGATGCAAGCATGGAGAAGGCTTCGGGAGGAATGCTAATGGTGTAATTGAAGAATAGTGGTATTGATGGTAGTGTTTTTGGAGGTGGCCCTTTGAATGACAAGATTATTGTAGATAAAGAGCTTAATTGATTTATAGTTATGAATATGATGTAAAAAGGCTGGGGTTATTTGACGAATTAGATATTGTCCATCATGAGAACAATATCTATGTCTTTTATTTTGAGAATACAGATGATTGTGATCGTGTTTTGCGTGGTAAACTAATGACTTCCAATATTTTACTAAAGTTATTGGTGTTTTTAATGTAATTAGAAGTTATTATTTAAATTTATTAGCAAAAGTATGATTGAGTGGATGATTATGTGTGTGAATGAACATGAAAATATAATTGAAAGTTAGTGGACCAATTTTGACATTAATTATGGATTTTATATAAGTAAGGGGGCCTGATTTATAGGCCCAAAAGTGAAAAATTTTAAAACCAAGTCCAAAGAAGTAAATCTAAAAAGAAAATCTGTACAAGTCATGTTTGCTACAACAAAATATAATTTTAGTAAAACACACAATTTTGATCTTTAGCAAACTTTTAGGGTTTAGAGACATCATTTTCAACCATTCATAACTTCCAATAGCTGCAAAACGTCAAGGGAGATAACAAAGAGTCAAAGAAAGGTTAGAGAAGCTTGAGTTTAATACGAAATCAAGGGTTCAGCTCAAGATTACTCTAATTAAGCATTTCTTCTCCTTTTCTCCTTACTTTGATGTAAATTTTGCTGATATTTGCTATTATTAAAGCCATGTGTGGCTGATTTTTTTCTTAATCTAAAGTAGCTATAAACTAATTCTTAGATTAAATCATGTTTGAATCATTTATTTGATCTTAGTGTTAGTTTTGTTTACTTAATCTTATGCTTATTTATCTATTTAATGCTTAGCCATCATTGAGTATGAATTTGAAAATTTAGGTTTTACCTTGGAAGAGGAAAAATCTATATTAAACCATTAGATTGAGTAACGTGAAATTAGAATTTATTTTAATTTACCACTAGGATAGGAATATACTTATTAAATCTATATAATCATATTAGAGTGAGTTTGTGCCTTTAATTTGCCTCTTAGGTATTTGTGTTAGAAATAGCATATTAATTTAAGAGAGGAGTGTAATTAATTGAAAGATAATTATTACTATTAATACGCTAGATTAATAAATTAATATTAAGTAAATTTATTTGGGTAATTACATGCTCTATGAATTAAGAAAGGAATTAGCCACCCTAGATTGCTTTGACTATTTGTGATTGTTGGAACTTTTATTTTAATGCATTCATATAATTTTAATTTCTTAATTCACAAAATCAAATTCAAATTTTGTTTTGCACAACTTAAATGAAAATGAAGAACTTATTGCCTAATCACTAAATTAACTTGATTCTCTGTGGGAATGACCTAGAGATTTATCACTTATTATCTTACAAACCATACATTTGTGGAATTCATTATATATTTGTGTGCATCACAAACCTTGGTCGATTCTGAGAAGCTTACGTAATGTTCAAAAATGGCGAGAATTGATGGTTATTTAGGAGTGCTTGTTTAATAAATGTCCATTTGGGTTTAGGTTCATAATGCTCCGTTAAAGGCTTTTGAACAAGAGAATGCTATACAGATTTGAAAAACAATTAGGAAGTTATGATTCAGGAGCATCTATCAGCTAAGGGTAGATTGCATAGGAATTTTCTTGAAGAAAGAGTGTTGGTAGACTTGATGAAGGCTCTGGTTTCAAGGGTTTGGTTGCTAGAGTTGATCATTCAAAGACTTGGTGTAATGTGAAGTTTGAGCGATTACAAAATTTTTGTTATAATTGTGGAGGTATTGGGCATGAAAATAGAATCAATCGAAAGGAGAAGGTTATGTCTAAAGTGGATTAGAGGAAAACTCTATATGGTCTATGGACGGGAATTAGTAGTTCTAAAAGTAAATTTGATAAGATGAGTTTGTGTAATTCAAAGTGGGAAGAAGCAAAATGTAATGATATTCAAGGGGATGTGGGTATGCCTTTAGTTTTGAAGAACGTTGATAAGTTAGAGGAAGCATCAGTGTCAATTTCTGAGTATGATGAACAAAGGATGGGAATGGTGAGTTTTGTTAAAAAGGATAAAGGGAAAGGAGTATGTTAGGAAGTTAATGATTTGGCTTCTTATAGTTATAGTAAGCTGGTAATTAAGTGATGAGAAGGAGGCACAAAGTCCTGTTATGGTTGTGGGCACTATAATTGAAGAGATAGCATATCAGAAGGTGTTTAGTCCTATGCCTTTGAAGGATGGGAATATTGAAGAAGTTAAAGATGATAATTAAGAGGTATGTGTACAAACCTATTTAGTTAAAACTCCTTCAAATGAGGAAAATTAGTCGAAAGCCTTCATTTACCCTTAACACAAAATTAGTTATTACTAGAAATGATTTGTAAGATCCAAAATTTTAGCATAGGGAGGCAGGTGAGGATTGGGAAATGTCTGTGGGAAAGCGAAGGAAGATGGAAGGTTTGAAATAAGTCATTCTTCTGTCATTCGATATGAAGAGAAAGAAGTGCCATCTTCTATGAGTACGATAGGGAGGAGTACAAGGAGAAGAAAAGTGAGAAGAAATAAGAACAAGGGTGCTGAAATTGTGAAGCAAGTAGAGGTATAGGTTGAAGGAAGTGATGTTGAACCTCATAAATGGTTCACTTTTGAAACCAAGACTTCTAGTGACTATGTGAATTCTTATGGCTGTGGTGGTTGGATTGCTGAAGCCACAAGAGAGCCATAAAAATATTGAATTGAAATTGCCAAGGATTAGACAGCTCCTTGGCAGTTTGAAGCCTCATAGGGGCAGTAAAAAAGAATAAGCCTGATGTTGTTTTCATTATGGAAACAAAGATGGAAACGAAAAGGTTATAGAAAATAAAAGGAAGGTTACATTTTAGTCATGAATTCTATATGGACAGAGTGGGTATTGGTGGTGGGTTAGCAGTGTGATGGTCTGAAGCACGAATTTTTCAAATTTTGTACAGTTCTGCTACAATTATTCATATGGCATGTGTGAAAGGTAATTCATGCACCTGATATTGAGAAGGATAAGAAAGACGTATGGGATATTATTC